AGGACTAACATGGTTTTTCAGGTACTGCTAAGATACAAACTTGTACCTGCAGGTGACATCTCACAGGAGTGAGTGTTAAGAAGTTTCGGGGAAATTGCAGCAATTATCAAGAGGCACAGTGGCTCCAGGATCTTGAAGATAAGGGGGAGCTGGCTATTAGCGGTTCAGCAACATCATCCTCATCCTAAAAACATCTGTCACCTGCTCCTCTGGGAGGAGAGAAATTCCCCAGGTGAGAGAGGGTTTTAAAGCCTGCTGAGACACCACTCACCTTCCAGGTGACGTGGGGGTGCTAACTGGAGCTAAACAGAGGGGGCAGCAAATCTGGCAAATTCAAGCAGCCTTGTTAGCTGCAATGCTCATCCCAGGCCCTTAGTGAAGCTACTCTCCAGATTGCCCTGTTTTAACACAAGGGAAATGGCAGCTTTAGGGATGGAGGCCCTGTAGCTGGGTAGGAGCTCCTTGTGTCCAGCAACAGCTTTGGGCTGAGAAGTGCCCCTCAGATTTCAGCACACACAGCAGCACGTTGGCACAACCTCCTGGTGCTCATCTGGGAGGTGAGATTTCTGGCACTGCCAACTCTCTGACATTTAATTTAGCCTTGCTCAAATTCGTCCTTATGAAAGCATGTGCTAAATTAACACTGGGAAAATAGCAAATCCATACCTTCTTGCATTTAAAGTCAGTTTATTTTCTCTGTGCACTTGATTCATTTAGTTCTGTTCCAGCTTTATTAACTTAATTTCAGAAGAGGTGCTGGGCAAATCTCCATGAACAGAGGAGCTTACTGCCAACCCCACATAAATGAGTGAAGAAGAGCTTGTGGCTCTGCTTTTGCAGAGTTGTGCATACACGGGAGCTGTGAAAAGAGGGCAGAAGCAGCAAGTGCTCTTGTGGAAATGAAGGGAAACGCAGGTAAGAGAGGGAGCATCCATTCCCAGGGAAGGGGTAGTTCTCCCTCGGAGCTGGGAGGGATATGTGCAAGGGATGCCAGTGCATCCTGAACAGTCTCATCTGACCTGGTATTTCATATAGGAACACATGTGGATTCTGCTTTGCTCTCCCCTGCTTTGCTGCATCCATCCTTGCTGTATGTTGGCCAGTGACACATCGCAGCCAGATGTTCCCAGCTGCAGCCCAGCTCTGCACATTTCAGTGAGCCGGAGAGCAAACCAGGCAGTCCCTCTCCAAGGCCTGAGAGGGGGAATTTACAAGTCAGACAAAATGAACATTTCAACATCCTAGAAGAGCAGTGAAAGGCTTCCCTCTGTGTTTGATTTTTGTATCCCCCAAGTTCACTAAAATTCTCTTAAAGAAAGAAATAAATCTGTCTGTGTGCTTGTTAAAACTTCAGTAGTTTCTAAGTACCTGTGTCAATGTATTGACAATTGGATTCAGCACAGCTTGAAACCTATTTCAGCAGGGCAAAAATCTCTGTAATCTTTTAAATACAAACATTATTGGCTTCTTGAGCCATTCTCACATGAAAGCCCACTGCCTACATTACAGCTAAGGACATTGCTAAACACCGTTAACTTTCAGGCTTTTTATTATTTTTCTTACTATTCTGTGCTCTCAATTGGCTTGTTAACCGAATTAAAGCAGGCCAGAACAGCACCCAGCAAGATGCCACAGCACAGCTGAACAAGGCTTCAACATGAACACGAGCTATAGGCAGTAGATTTTATTTGTACCAAAGGAAAGCAGGACACATCTCACTGACATTGTTGGACTTTTCAACTCAATGAGAGCTGCCAACAAACGTGTTCTGGAAGTTGGGAGGAACTCTTAAACCTCTGTGCAGAACAGATTATGTTGTGGGGCCATCCAGTGCTTTGGACACATGCAAAAGGAAGGGGAAAAGAGTCTCAAAAGGCTGAAATACCAGTCTTGTCTCTCCAAAGAACATCCTGTGTATCCACAACCCAGTCTTAAGACACACAGTCCTCAGCACCTCACCCTGCCCTCACCTCCAACCCAGTTTTCAGAGGTGGATGACCACATTCCTTGCAGTAGTAAGGTGAAGATACATCCAGAAATGTTTCTGAGATACTTGGATATTGCAAGGACGGAGGACTGTTTCACAGCAGAGGCACCAATTTATCAGCCATTTGGCTTTCCAAGGTTTAGTTTATGCAATTGTTCTGTTCTGCTTTGAAACTGGTCAAGTACATTAAATACATTGGCTGAGTTTCCAGATTCATGCTGCCTCAGCTACCCTGTGGTGTAAATTACTATCCTGAAGGAGAAACTAATAGACTCCCCAAATATTAGCATTGTTTCCAGAAACAGAAACTGTTCTTCTTCCAAAATCCACTGAAATCTCTAGAGTGAAACATGTCAGAGAGAACAGTCCTGCCCTCCAAGAGACTTCCTATCCTTACACAACCTCCAGTTGCTCCTTCCGTACCTTGAGGAGTTTGACCTGACTCAGTTTTGATGCCCCTTGACTCAGAGGGCTGCACGTATTCCCTCTTTAGTTTGCCTTTGGCCTTCTTTGTTCCATCAGTTTTCCTTTCTCAGGAGCACAACCTTGAAGCCCAGTTCTTTTGTAGGGCCTTCAGTGATACTAAACCTCTGAATTTTCATGCTTGTTTAAACTCACCTTTCCTTAGAGCTCCAGACCTTTGGGAAAACTGAGTTTATAATTCACCTTCAGAGACATGACAGCCTGAAAATTGCTAAATCCACATGCACTCACTTATTAAACACCGCTGCTGTTCACTTACCTGGCACAGAAGATGCGTATCTCCAAACACAGCACTACATGCATCCTTCTGGATACTTTTTAATAAGTCATAAAATTACAGTATTACAATGAATTTGTTTAAGCCCTGAAAGAACATTTGAAAGCATTTATACAACCAACAGCTCTCTCTAGAAACTGGTGCAGGAGTTGGGTTTCTGCAGGGCTCCCCAGCATAGCAGCAGCCAGGCTGACATAGAACCATACCAGGAAATGCATTTTGCTCAGCTTAATTTTCATCACTTGTACTACTGCCTTACAGTAATCAGATAATTTTACCTTCCCATTTTCTGTTGCACATTCATTTCCTTTGCCATTCCCAGCTCATACACCACTGTCACTTGTTCCCTGATTGCATCATCAACGAGCTCAGGGCTTGAGCTTCTGACCAAGGCAACAACTGGAGGGATCCAGGAATTGGACTTGCAGGGCTGCATCTTCACTCCCAAGGGCCCAGGAAGGTACCATGAGGCTATAAGCATCTGACTTTGTTCACTGTAATATCCAGATAAAACACATAAGCTTGTAAAAAAAGGATTTATCTTGTCTGAATTATTCTTCAAAATCTTATTTTTTAGCTATAATAGGAGAAAATATCTTCCTCGTAATGCTCATAGCTTAATATTACAGTTTTGCAATGAGACATGCAGGCAGAACTTATTGCAAAGCACCCCAATTTAGGTGGGAGTCCTTCTATGGTTGTATTCTGCCTGAGAATACTTGCTTTTTAAAGGGGGCAGGACAGATCCGGTCCAAATGGTCCAAACAATATCCTGATACAGTATAGCCTGGAGAGAGACTTTTTACAGAGAACTGGAGAGGGACTTTTACAAAGGCATGTAGTGATAGGATAAGGACTAATGGCTTTAACCAAGAGTAGGTTTAGATTAGATATTAGGAAAAAATTCTTTACTGTGAGGGTGATGAGGCACCGGCACAGACAAACTTTGGATGCCCCATCCTTGGAAATGTTCAAGGCCAGGTTGGATGGGACTCTGTGCAACCTGGTCTAGTGAAAGCTGTCCCTGCCTATGGCAGGGGGGTTAGAACTAGATGATCTTTAAGGTCCTTTCCAACCCAAACCATTCTATGATGATTCTATGACTTATTGTTAACAGAATGCGGTTTTCTCCAAGCAGAACTCTTCTCTTTTTAAACCTTAAGCACTGACCTTCATTACTAAGTCCCACAACAAGTATTCATGAGGGCTTCCCTAATTGCAAGGTTTCCAGATTTCCCTCCTATTTCACATGTACACACCCTTCTGTAAGTTAACTGAATCCCAAATCCTACTCATGGGAAAGCTGCAGGCACCCTACTTATCAGCCTCAGCTCCCATCTTCCCCAGATTGGCACTTGCTCTCCTGTCCCCAGGCAAGGAGAGCCACATGCACAGTGCTTGTCCTCCCTGGATCCCTCCCATTAACTTCCTGATCATGAGTTTCCCCCAGGCTTGGAGCTGCGTAGAGAGAAAGGATGAGTCTCTGTACTCACTGACACAGTACCTGGATGTGCCCAGCATGGCATCAGCCTTTCTCACAGCTGGTGTATGGCACTGTGTCATACTAATGCAAGCCCTTCACAAGTTCATTTTGGCATTACTGCTATCCCAAATTCTCTCTGTAGCAAGTATGTGATATAAATGGTACTATTTTTCTCTAAACCTCAAACACACATCCCTCTCCTCAATGTATGAGGCTACCTAATCTTTCTAGGAATTATTACCTGACTACTCCCTCCTCCAGGGAGCTTTTACCACTACTTAGCTTTCACCATGTGTGAAGTTTTTTATTTCTCCATACCTGGTGTTTAATCAGTGTGCTGTTCCCTCCCTCAGTAGTGAAGATTCTAGGTAACAGCAGACCTCACCTCTGTCTCAGCAGGAAAACACAGGGCGTTTACTCCTTAACTTTGTACTTTCACATTTTGTTACTACCGGTTTTGTATCATATTAGGCTGGAGAATCCACATGCCTCTCCCCCTCAAAATACAGAAACCACACAACATCCAATTCTGCTTTCTTGGAATTCAAATTGAAATAACCCCCCACATTTAGTTCTATGCTCTTTGTTTTGACCCAAACTTCACCTGTTCCAGCTATCTGAAAACTTTTCAATCATTTCTCTAAGAATTTAAAAACTAAACCTGGTGATCACCTCTCAGTTTGCTTTGACTGAGAGATGACAGCAAGGGATCACGGTGGAAGATTTATCACCTTAAAAGAACGAGAAAAAAGTTGAATAATACACAACAGTGCATTTTTTCTGTTATTTTATTGATATTAGTGAAGAAAAAATTAAGTTTCATCTTTCTGATGTGTTACAATAGCTTTCTCTGGTGGGTGGACAGCTCCTACTGCTTATTCAAAGGTTAAATATTTCCAATTGCATGATTAACTTCTACACTTTAAGTTCTCATATGGTATTGCTTTCTTCCTCTGGGTATATAAAATGGTCCATTAAGTCCATATTTTTTTTCAGAATCAACTGTTATTCTATCTACTGGTTTAAGATACATTCAAATAAAAAGATACTTAAATTTACTTGCAATAAGGGCACACATACAATAGCAAACAGAGCTGATGGCATTTTACTAAAACATTGTAAGTTCATAGAATAAATAGTTTTCAAACACATGCTGTAACTGACCGATGTGTTTTTTTTTCTTTCTCAAAAAATATCCTTAGTGTCCATAGCACTACTGCAATAACTACTTCATTCAGAAAAAAAACAACCCACCCACCTATCTCTCATCACAAAGACTAAAAGACAGTTTCATTTATACAAGAAATTATCAGTGCTAATAATTTAGTAACAGTCTGGTACAAACAGCAATTCATGGCAATTACGTGTAGTGTGATAATGGCAACAAACAGGGAGCTTGATTTAGAAGCCATAAGAAGTGCAAGGAAAAGAAAGTGGATGCTAAACCCTCCCTGCTTCGCTCCTCTCCATCCCCTCTTCCACCAAAAAATGTATGTCTCAGCTCTGCTTTAGAAACAAGCTCTTTCCAGTCTGTTCCAGTTCCAAGGTATTTCAGCTCTTTCTACAAGCACCCAGCAGAATTTTGGGAGGAACAGAGAAAAAACTGTGATATAGTTAGGACTGCCTGGCAACTAAAGGTTGTGTAAGGTCTTTTGTTTCCTTTCTGAAAAGGCGGGGAGTTATATGTTTGGTATTGGCAGGTACTTTGTCAGTTTAAAAAACACTGTGAAAATAAAGTGTTTTCCAATCTTTTACCTATACTAAGGTCCAACTTTGGATGAAAAAGGTTTCTCTGAAAAAAGAACACAGAAAATCGGTAGGGAATATTCTCACCCTGCTGACAAGGCCATGGTCTTCGACATGAATAAAACATGAAGATCAGCACCAGGACTGCAAGTTGCTCTTTCCAGCCTGTACCATTCCGTTACTAAATGTTTTCTGTGATTCTCTGCTGAGGTTTCAAGGATGCACCTTTTCCTAATACTGGTTTTGCTACATGTTCTTTTATAACATTCTTATCTGTCAATCTGTTCCACAACTTTGACATCTAGGAAGTCACTGCCGTGTTTACCTCAAAAGTTGTGAAAACTCTTTTCTTTGGGGGCACTGACAAAAGCGTGTTTCAGTGGCAGCAACACATAGTAAAGCATTTTCCCTTCCACAGTCCAGTGCAGCATTGAAAAAGAAAACAAAAACAAAAAACCTCAAACCCAACCAAACAAAAATGACAAAAACAAACAAACAAACAAACAAACAAAGAAGTTGCACAGAGTGTAAGCATGCCAAATGAAACAGTGGTGGCAGGAATATGTCACTATTCCAGGTACCCAGTAGGCCTGCTGACCTCAACCCAGTATTAGTTCAAGTTTATAATTTTGGGGAGGAGGCAAATACAGAACAGGGAAAAAAAAAAGAAGTTAAGTTTCATCCATTCAGGCATAATAGCCAGGCACTCCAATAACTCAGCTCAACTCATCTACAGAGGCAAAATTAAAACTACCACATGTTAAACTGAGTGCTTTTTTCAGTATTTAATGAAGCACAAATGCTCCCATGCTTCAAGTGATGTAATGAGAGGTCTCACATAACACATTCAATAACTTCCCATGCACCTTTGACTCAAGTGAGGCTAGCTACAGAATTCACGTTTTTCTAGTCAAGTTACTTTTTGTTGGTTTTGCTCTTTTGTTTTTTTCAGTGCATCTTAAAAAAAAAAAAAACCTTTTCAAAAGGTTAGCAAGTTAACCTTAATACAGCAATCATAACATAGAGCCTTTTGCACTCAATTGAACAGTAAAATAATCCAATTAGTTACAATAGATCTGGTACATATTTACACATTTTATACAAAGTTTACACATTTCTCCCATTAGGCACGAAGTTGATTTGTCAAACTCAAGAGGCAATGAAGGGGTGGTGGGGGAAGGAAAGGGAGGTTGGAGAAAGAATCTAAATATTTTCATTTAAAAAGACTAGCTGTAAAAATAAAGTCCTTCATCGTAAGCTAGTTTGCTTCGGGAGCTTGGTTCCCATGAGGATCCCCGAAGTGAGAGACGTCGGGCCTTTCATCTGCATGCTGGAACCCACCATGGTGGGGAAGCTCCGATTCCTTCGGATGCCAGTGTTCAGCTGGATGCCTCCAATGGCACTGGTCACGGCAGGGCAGCCCAGTGGGAGACCATCTGGTGCCAGGCCTCCAGGAACAAGGGCCCTCACTGGTCCCTGTGCCCCACAGAGAAGAGGTCCCTGGTCATCAGTTAAAGGAGGAGCTGATGTTTGCCCTGAACTCACAACTTTGGCGATACCAAATCTCTTGACTTTGTCCACAAGATTAAGGTTGGAAACAGACACGTCAGTCTGGCTCTCACTGTTCCTGATGTTCTTTTTATTCCTCACCTCCTTCAAGATTGAACTAGCAGGCTTCGAAGCCAAGAAGTTGTCATAAGGTGGGCTGGTGCACTTGAACTCAAAAGATGGAGGGGAAGAAGAAGGTGTCTGCATAGGTGAGTTTGGTGGAGTGGAAGGAATGATGGCCATTTTAGGGGAGTATGTGTTCAGCAGGGTGCTCCTGCTGGCTCTGTCCCAGCTCTGTGGATTGTACACTGCTGCCGAGATGCCCCTTTCCTTCAGCAGCCACACCAGCCCCAGAGACGTGCTCATTGTCGTCGTGGATTCACGGAGGTTGGTGAAGGACTCAGCCAAACTCAGACGCCGAGGAGTGCAGGGAGTAGCCACCGGGGTGCCTTTCAAATTGCTAATGCTGCCACAAGCTGGAGTAGGTGCTGCGTTAAGGCTGAAAGCAAAGGAGCAGTCAAATTATTCTCTCTAGCAGGGAATTAAAACTTAGTGCAAGCAAGATTTTTAACCCTGAGCAGGGCCTTTTATCCATTTGGAGAGCGCACAGGACACTGACAGCTTCCAGCTCCTCACAAATGTGCAAAAACATTGTATCTTACAAAACACATCTCCACTTTGCACACTTCACAGCCCAGTCTCATGGAATTAATGCAATCTGCAACAGCCAGCATCACATTCCCTCTATAAACTATTCACAAAGTCAACACCTTCAATTTTTCTTCCTGACCTACTGTCACAACTCCCAGTTGCTTCTGTGAGACAAAGAAATGGGGGAGAAATTGCTTGACCAATGGTATAAGCAAGACATGTACTTTCTATTGTCACTTCTGAGCACAGAGAACTGCCACTCCTTCTAGTTCTGCTGGGTCATGGGAGAGAGTGGCAAGGGAGGAGGGGAATTTATTTGCTTATAGAAGTATTTGTAGAAAAGCTGTTGGAAATTGGAACTGCCACCAACATGCACTTCTGTAAGGTTAAACCCTTCTTCCCTTCTTATGCTGAATTTGCTTTCACTGAAGGGGAATGAGATGGGGATCTGCCTTTTGATGGAGATGCACAATGGTATGAATAGTAAACAGAAGTGATAAGAAAAATCCAGTCAAGCTCTTGTCAACTGGCCAACGGGTAACTGGTAACTCAGCAGCAAATCGAGCATGACAAAGAGCCATTCTACAGTTAATTCGGTAAAACAATTTTTATAGTTTGAAATAGTGCTAAATTGTACCCCAATTCCACTTCTTTCTTCTCAAAACATGTACAGGCAGAGGATAAGAAAATATTAAATGGCAATAATCTACATATTTAGAACAAGGGACATACATTACATACTTATGTTTAGTGCTATCTTATGGCACTTTGTTTTCTTAAGCACACTACTGCTAGTTACTAGGGGTTGGGAATTCTTGAAGCATATCAAATAGCATCTGGTAGACTGCTCTCACCCCACAAGCTGCTCAGCTAAGTGAACACAGACTTAATACAGTACTTATTTCCAAAGAATAACCACAAAAGAGACATTCCAAATCCTTTGTGCCACGGTGTAAGATCTCATGAACAGGTTTGACTGTTTCTGGCACTACAGTGCCATCCTTAAAAGACTTGTTTCTGATAGATCAGGTTGGCCACAGCACGTTTACTTATTGTCATAGGTTTACTTGTTCTAAAAATCCAAGCAGAAATTTTCCTTTCCCTTGTCCCACTGTGAAAGAAAAAAAAAGAACTAGCTGGCTGACCTGCATTCCGGATTAATGGCCCACCAAAAGCTGCAATGAAGGGAGAGGAGTTTTTCTCCTCCTCTCCTTACAAACGGGAGACACTTCACTTTTTGCCTTAACGAGGGCAAGGTGTGTCAGAAAAGCTCGGAGGCCATTTTGCTCTGGACCTGGTCATCTGGCTGCTTTCTGGCCTCGGCTTGCCTGTGCACTGCCCTGCCTTCAGGCCGAATCTGCTCGGAATTCACTGGAGAGTTTGTGCTTAAGAAAAGGGGGTGCCCAGCCCGAATCTTCTCAGAATCTTCTCAGAATTCATCGGAGAGTTTGTGTGCTCATCGAATTAAAAAAGGGGGAGTCCTGATCACAGCCAGCCGCAGGCAGCATGAGTTTAGCAGGAAGGAAGCCACCCCTTTTCCCCCTGTTCCACTTCCCCTCCTTGGGGGAGGTGGGGGGGAATCTCCATTTTCCGGCTTCTCCTGAGATCCCGGTGCCCACATGGCTACAGCTGGAGCCCAACAGCGCCCCCTGCAGGCCAACACCGAGCACTGCAGGCTCTGCTCCTCCAGTGATCCAAAATCATGCTACAGGACAGAGAAGTATCAAACTGCTTCCATTTTGAAGGGGACTTTTGGGTACAGGATTATTGTTTAGTTGCTTTTGTGTTCTGTCACTGTTTTTGTCAATATACATATATCCTTTAATAACGGGTTGTTATTTCCTCCATTTTCCATACTTCCTTGATTGGAGCCTCTTAATTTTGGATATACAATTGCTGAGAGAGAGGAGTTTGGTCTACCTCATAACTCATCCTCCTTAGCAAAACACTCCAGTCTCTTTAAACTGAGACACTTATGGATAATCTCCACTCAAAATTTATGTCAGTCCAGACTACACCATCCATCCATTAAGACATGATATACATAGTTATTCCAGAAACAATGCATGTGGCACATCCATAATACTCCCAGTTCATGTCTGTTGGGAAAATCCCAAGAGTTCCATGTACCTTCAGAAAAAAAACCTTTCCAACTTTTTCTAACTAAGCTTAAATTATGATCTTTGCCATATGTATACAAGCAAAAAATTTGAATTCCACAGTAACATCTCCTATGCACAGCTTCATCCCCTCTAATGGCATTTAAAGGGTCTTGAGCAATGCAATACTTGATGTTAACACAGAATTCATTGACCTGAGCTCACCACTATTCAAAGAAGAAAATCTTCCCCCCATCTTGCCACATTAGCAAGCAGAAGACACTCAGCAAAGAGTCAAACAAAAACCAAAGCCAGTGCGACAAAGTGGGAAACGTAAGCAGCTGGGAGGGGAAGGAACAGGGGAAAGAGTGGGATCTTCCCTTTTCAGTAGAGCCACACTCTTGGATTGGCTCAGTCATAATATACAACTTTAACTTAAGTTGGGTTCTCTGTACCAAGAAATGCATCAAATAGCCACATTGAGACAATCTGGATGGATTTCCAGGTATAGAGAAGACTCAGGCCAGTGAATTAATTGCATCTGTTTTGCCCATATGGACAAAAGGGTTGAGATGATGTCTTGACTGGAATTTGCAGTCTCATTTCACCTGACATTAATGAACTCTGTGTAGCCAACACTACTGTGCATGTCAGGTTAGACACCCTGGAATGTTTTGTTCTGAACCACAGCTTCTGATGAGCTTAGAACATCATCTAGATCCATGGTTTACAGTGATCAGGTGGCATGAGTTCACATAACACTAGAAACTGTAGTCCAGTGGTCTTCAAAAAATCAGCATATCTTTAAGGCACTCCTTAATTAACATGATGCTATGAAGTTTCACGTCATGTCTTCTTTCCATGGCTGAACAGAATCTGACCAACATGATCTCTGACAGTGATTTGGAAGTGTACCAACCTCTACTCTAAGCAAATGAAACTGCCACAGGATTTTTACCTTGCAGTTGCAATTCAACAGGAGGAATCCCATATATTCCTCTCAATAAACTGTAGTGAAACACGTTTGAGAAAGTCAGTAGATGTAATTAGAAAAGCAGCCTTGCTAAATGGCTCTGGAACCAGTCTCCTTGCACCCCCATGTGTGCTGTGGCTGTCAGTGCACGTACGGCACACCCTGATGTCCTCTCCACTCTGCCTGGGCTGTATCAGCAGCAGGAGAAGAAGACTACTCCCAGCAGAGCTATGGAGGCCACGCACACCCACTGCAGCAGCACACAGGCACTCTGAAGGCAGGGCTGAATGAAGTTAGTTCACAATTCTTCTCTTAAACATTGATTAAAGCTGGACCCTCATAGCTCTGATTTCAGTTCACAGTGGAACTAAAAAGCAGTGACAGTCACCATGGTCATCTCATCTCCCACACAGAATACAGAAGACTTGAAAAGTGTGAAGGAGAGAAAAGAAAGAATTTACTGCATGAACTGACTTTCTACAAGGTAGGACCATATACGTTTCAGAAACCCAGACACATGGTGTTAATCATCAGGTTTCCAAGATGCCCTAGTCACAAGATGAAAACTAGAGCACTCCAATGGCTTATTAACTTCAACAGCTTCACTCTTTCCAGCTACAGATTTCAGTTGCACAGATGTTTAGATTAGTATTTCTACTAATTTGTCAGCACAGTTACACACTACAGTGCAATAGAAAAAATAAGCTATCCCTGCAAGAAAGCAGTTGTAGGTGTTACCTTTTTTGTCTGTTTGATCATTTTGGCATTGCTTTAACCAGGAAATATTTTTCCCATCAAACTAACCAACACCACTGGGCAGCCCGGACACAACTGCAGAAACAGACTCAAAGTGGCCTCAGCAACTCAGCCCAGTGACAGTTTCAGAGTTAGACTGAGAAAGGAAAGAAATAAACGAGCATTTCATTTAGCTAGATGAAACTTAGTCAGGTTAGAGCAACACCTGGGGTAGCATAGGTTAAAATGCAACCAGGTAGGTAAATGCCAAACCTCTTTGGGGTTAGCTGGTGCCACACACACGAGCATTCCTTGTCATGATCCTGCCAGCACAGATGCTGCTGGCAGTGTTGCTCACCCCTGACCACGCTGGGTCATAGTGTCTGCCCTATACCTCCTCTCAGCACAACGAGACATAATGCAGGTTCCTCGTCCTCCTCACATGACCTGTGAAGAATTGTTTATAGTTGGTAAGGAGGAGCTCCTTAAACACATCTGAAAACATCACTCTGTTTATTTTGCTGTTTGTCCTCCTGAATGAACGATGAACTTCAATTTAACTAAGGCAGCTGAAAATGTACTGAATTTAGCTGTCCATTCTGGCTGATTTGTTAGATTTAGTAACTAATGAGTTTATTATGACCACAACTAACAGCAATTCAATAATAACAAGAAAATTAAAATAGAACTCCAGCCATTTAAGAGGATCTCTTCAGTAACCATGTTGATGGGAAAGGAAGACAGAAAAGAGTAATGAAAATCCACCCAGAACACTGTTAACTAAGTTCAGAAAGGGAAGCGGAAAAGTTACATTTAATCATCAACCATTTCCTTTCCACCTGACAAGTTTTCATATTCAATACCTTTGCTTTTCATGCCCTTCACAGGCAGTCACTGTCCATCTCATGTCTAAATAGATCTAGACACATCATCTCTGAATGGGGACCTACACAATGATATGCTCCCACACAGGAGCTGGAAGGGGCAGAGAAAGCAATGAGGCATTGTATTTCTAAACAGAAAAGAACATTCTTTAAATACTGATTTGCTAAGTAGTAAAGCTCCCTGTTTAGGTATGAAATTCACACACACCCCCCCTGGTTCTCAGATCTTCACCTTCCATAAGGCCTTCTGTCAGCATGCATTGCCTATACACGCCAATTACTATTGTTACGCCAGTTTATTAGTTTCAGTCTGGCTACCATGAACTCATTTCCAACAATTACACCAAGGAACAAAGTAGACATCTCTTTGTTTCTGATTAACGCATATGTCCTCATCTGTTCCTCAGGTACTTCCTGGATTTCTTTACCTGCACATCCCATTTTCTTCAGAGAAAAAAGATTTAGACTTTTCCTCCCTGGAAAAACCTCTTTTTTTTTTTTTTTTTTTTAATGAGAGACCACATTCTGTGCATTCACATATGAGGACTACAATTAGTCCAAGATCAAGAGGAGCCAGGTTTGGAGCCAATACAGTTATGTCTGATCCTAGAATATCTTAACTAGAGACAACAAAATTTAAGATACTTTGATTGGCTTTTTAAAACATTACACATGCCTCTCAAAATCAGGTTGAGGTAACTCAAAATGGGAGGAATAATTTGTGGGTGTGTTGTAGTTCACTAATGCAGCTAATGCTTTTGCTTATGCCATTGTTCTGCATTTGCTTAGAGGGGAAACTCTGACAGAGCTGAAGGTTTTGCCATCACAGGAATCCCTTACCTTGGAGTGACTCGTGTGAGTTCATCGGAGGGGTGCAGAATGCGGCAGGTGGTGAAGGTGAAGGTGGAGTTGGTTTGTGACATGCACTTCCCAGGATGAGGTACTAAATTAAAAAAAAGCAAATTCTTTGCATTTTACACAGAAAAGGGGAAAATCAAACTTCTGTGTGCTGATTAAGACAGATGCAAAAAGTGATGAGGCACCTTGATGGGATCAATGTAAGAAGAGTGAAATACACAAGTTCTACTTTAACAGACACTTGTTCTCCAAAAGAAACACCTCTAGGACTCCAAGGCCAGTGCTAAAAAGGTCTGCTGAAACTTGTCCATGATCATAATACGTCTTGCTCAAGCCAAACTGAGGCCAGGCAGTGCTTGAAATACTAGCCCTTATCTAAATGAGCAAATAGCATCAGTGGGAAATTACAAGCAGCATTTTCTAGCACCAGCTCAGGAGCACCAGGATTTTCTGCATGCTTGCGCATTTCAGCTTTTAGACTGATCCACAAAAAGGCATCCCCATTACTTCTCAGTAATGGATCCATCTGGCTAATGCTACAGGAATATGGACTGTTGGGGTGGGGAGGAGATGAACACATATTAATTACTGTTTCTGATTTCTCACATCCACAGTATGGAAAAGTGGTAGTTTTTTGGATCCACTACTGTACATCTGTGACATTTCTCTTGTGCCTGTGATTAGGTTCTTTAAGAATGTACGTCCTCAGCTGCACAATATAGCAGATTTTGAATATTTCTGAACAGTTTAGTAAATAAATTTCCTGACAAATGCTGCTGTAAAACTGCCACTCTGTTGGTGCATCAGTGATTTGGGAAAGAAGCAACACAGATCAATTTAAAAAATTGAAGACTTAGGCCAATTTCTTTTTTATTCATAGAAATACTTCTGTGGCTGTACTAATCTGCTATATAATGCAGCTGTGGTCACTGCAAAATAACTACCGAATTTAAGAGCCATGCATCTCAAAAGCTGATTGAAAAATACCCAGAGTTAAATATTACATCAAAGATATCATGATTGCATAGGTTCTCTTAATTAATAACCAAACTTAGCAGTGGCCAAAAGACATGCACAATAAAAACCGTGTGCAGCTCCCGCCCCCTCAGTCCTACCCAACCCTCTGAGCCATTCCCTGATTAAGCCACATTGTAATACCACAGTACACAACTATTCAACACATTGCAAAGGACAGACAGACCAACCAGCTAGACCAGACACCATTCTGAACTTCCAGAGAAGCTTAGCAGAAGCAAGGCAAGTCTTAATCGTGGCTGTGTTCCCCTTCTCATATATAAAGTATCACAGCTCCAAAACAGTGTGTGCAGTTAGGCAGTCCTTTCAGAACACATATAAGTGGTGTGTGAAGGGTAGAGCATGGGGAGTGTGAACAGTGGAAGCAGAAGTGGTTAAGCAAACAACGTGAGGTAACTTCTAGTTAGCGCTGGAATGTACTACTGTACATTAAAGAAGGATGTTCCTAAAAACCCACTGGAGTGTCATGTTAACACACTCGAATGTTAGCACGGCATAACATAACAACAAGCTCTACTTCACCTCCAGAGATGGTAATTATGAAGCTTCAGGAATCCAGTTGCTTTAGAGATTAGTGTGAGCACTATAAAAACTATTACAAGGGAGCACAGCCTAGCAATCATGATTCTCTCCATATTGTAGAGAGTTATAAGAAAATCTGGAGAAAGAGCTCAGATAACTGGACATGAAAAAATTGGTTATTTAGAGAAAACACAGGACTTTAACATAAATCAATTAGAAACAAAGCAGTTATCCCTGGATGATGAATAGAGAACAGAATAAAGCAATGCTGATTTAAGATTGCAAGCTCAACCCAAAGCACATAGCTGTAATACAATCAGTGCATTTTCCCCATTTGTTATATCCACTGGGCATCCCCTCAGATAAGAGACAGGCACACTGAAGATACATAGCCGCATTAGCAAAAGCAAGACTCATTGCTATTAATGAGTCACAGATAGGAGAAGGCTGCTAAAAGTAGAGAAATCACTGACTCTAATAAGAGGAAACAAATTGAAATGATAAAAAAATCTATCCATTTCCATGGATGTATTTCACCCTCAAATACCACTAAGAAAGTCCTGTACCAGCTTCATCCTCCATCAGTCAACAATGGGGTGTATCATACTGCTGTAGCATTTTCCATCCTTTGGACACAGTAAAAAGAGTGAGAATCTGTTGCTGTAAATGAACAAAGTTTATAAAATAGAAACAAAATTATTAATTCCCAACTTACTAATTTTACATATGAATGGCCATTTCCTGAGCTGGTATATTTTCATGAGGAAATAATACATTTTTATAATAAAAGAGACTATCTTCATATATACATGCACCAAAGCATTATTTTTAATATAAGCACCCCTTCCATGTAACTGTGTCTGAAACCAAATGTTTTACTTATATCATCCTTTTCAAAGCAGTGGCAGCTTAATAACCATGCTTTGTATCTGTATGAAAAAAGAATCTGTACATAATTCAGTACTTAACAAAATTTACAGAAATATCATGTGATTTCGTCTGTCAGAAAACATGTGCAAACTGTGCATTCCCCCCCTAAATTAAAATTAAAGCTAAACCTAAGATTGCTGTTGGATCATGTTTTATTTATTCTCAGGAATTAATGATTCTTCACTTTAAGCTTTCTCAAACAATTCATAGGCATTATGGGAAAAATGCAAAACATAATAGCTGAAAGGGACTTTCCCGCTGTAAGCACAACAGTGTTGTAAAAACTTCTTTTAAAATAGTGCAAAAAAGGCAGGTTCCAGTCAAACAGAGAGCTCCATCTTGTGGCAAAACAAACAGAGCTTTCCTCATTCAAAACACAAAGCTGATTTTATATAGCTCAGAGCTGCCTCAGATCCAGATTCAGGACTCAGAGCCTACAGGCCATTGTGCTGGGTGTAAACAGCAAAATAGATATGTTTAGGACATGATCTTCTGCCCAGGGAACACTCAGAGGGCCGTTTAATCTGTGTTTCAACCAGCTTGTGCAGAGGAAGGTACAAAGTTACAGTATGTAAGCTACTGGCCTGCCCCATGCACAAGATGATGTCAAGACAAACTGCGTTTGAGGAATATTTGTAAGAAGTAGCTATACTAAAACAGCTACAAAAACATTGATTTTGTACCACTGGATCCAAACTCAAATTTGCTGAAATAACAGTGAGGAGGCAGAGAGCTCACAGTGACCAGCAAACCTTTTTTTTTTTAATATAAACACCTATTCTGGCAAATGCAGATTTATTAAGAAATTAACTTCAAAAAAATTTATTAGGAAATTAACTTTAAAAAAAATTGGAAATCCTCAGAGTATGACTTGATCCAAATTGGCATAAAGGTAACATTTTAGTCCAATTCTGAAGCAAGCCACTCTACTCATTATTTCAGTGGCACATTTTAAGAAAAGGAGGAAAAAAAGATGGTTCCCTGATCTTTGAGCAGGAACTGCACTGGAATTTGGGCGTTTCTTTAGCACAGGCTGTTGAGACACGGATGAAATGACAATCAGGTTGAGGAGTCCTTACAGCAACAGATAATGATTTGAAACATGAGAAGTTTATTTTATTGCTGAATAGAAAAGAAAAGCTCTGCCTGTTCTGAAAGAAGATAACAAAGGATCACTGAGAGGCATCTGAAGGTGAGAGCTGTGATACTCAGTGCTACCTGTACTGAAAATGCCTGGCTGACAGAACAGGTGGAATAGAGGGTATGCTGAAGCTGATGCCTGGGTTAACAACTACAATAAAAAGGAGATGGGTGATAAATACAACACCTGTAAAATGTGAGCATGGTGCTCTCACAAAGGTGTTTAGGTGCCTTCAGATGTCCTTCAGTAAACACTGGTTTTAGGGGTAACTGTGAATACTTAAAACCTCCAAGAATTCATACATCTATGCCAGGAGTGTTACTTCTGTTATGTTTCTTAAGCAACAAAATTCTTTTCTGACTACCTGCTTTTCCAAACTTTTCACTTATTTTGCCTTTGGAAACAACAAGAGAAGAAAAACTGAACAAAGGCAGATATTCTTTGGACAGGGTCTTCTTCAGGCTGAGGCCACTTTCCCATATATATGTAACCATGCAGCACAGATGTAAAAAGACTTCAAAGTATTTAATGTGGCTTCAACACAAGTTTATGCAGGCTAGGATCCCCAAAATAAAATTACAGCATTTTAACAGCATAGACAGCAACTGCTAATAGACTTCTCTTAAAGAAATAATTACTGTAAAATATTCACGCCGTTTAAAAATAAGATATATTTAAATATGAATCAATACCTTAGTTCTAAGAAGAGTTAAAAATTTATTGCTTTTCTGTACAATGTAACCTTTCAGAAGCATGTATAGTAATCCTTCTAAAAACAACTCAAACATAAGACATTCATTATGTGTTTTTATGATTTTAGGCATCTTTTGGAAAGATCACCAAGTCATGATTAAGGTCTAAACATGAAATACAAGAGTGCTGATTCCATAATGCTGTGCACACATCTATTCAGAGCAATCAATCAGTGGAACTAAAACACCAGTACTGAAAGACCAGTTCATGCACCCAATACTAGCAGGCAATTAAACATATGCTGCATCATGTAGCCCTTCCAACTTCAAAATTAGAACATTCATAACATTATTCAGTGCTTTGAATGGCTTGTTCGTTTTGTTTGAATTAAAAACCCACAACAAACCAAACAAAAAACCAACCCCAACAACCCCTCCCTCCAAGACAGATTCTGTACAGTTTTATAACATACTACATTTTCTTTCACAGAACAAAAATTTGTGCTGCAAAAATTACTTGCCCTAGATGGTATTAAGAACACTGTGTCCTGTAACTTCTTTACGATACCAATTATGCTGAGTGTATACACAAGTCATATAAAAATTTCAACCTCTTCCTGGGTATTAAGCTAGAACTGCAATACTGAAATTCACAATCCTCCCTAAAGTTACTCTACCCACACACAGCATGTGGCTCCAACAGACCAACTGCAGATCATAAAGTACATACATGTTCATTTCTTCTGAAATGTCCAGTGCCATAACTGGGATAGAATATGCATTTATGGTGAGGAAACTATTTTATATATCAGTGGATACTACAGGTTCCAACACAGGGACAGGAAAATTCAAGGATTGTAACTCATGAATACTCTGCCAGAGAAGATCTCCAGTGCAAAAATGACAAGATACAAGGCTCAGAGCATACAATACAATGAAGCAGAAACCTGCCCAACAGACTAAGGTGACCTACACCTGCTGGGAATGGTCCTTGTAGGCACTGTATTACTAAAGACATTTTGGTCTGAGGCTAGAAGACCTGTAGCTCTAGACTGGCACGCTTTATGGCCTGCAAACAGCAACTGTATGATGATACTTTCT